GTCCTCTCAGTCCTCAGGCTCAGTAATAAGTCTCATTTCTTGGATGTTGACCAGCAGGCATCTCCTGAGGCAAGGCGAGGTTGCTCAGTCTATACCAGAGAAGCAGACTGGCCGAGAATCCATGCATTCTGCGCATTGATTTGGACGGGGCAAACTTACAGATTTGTAGTACAATATCTGCCACTTTAAGTTCAGTTATCGTTATCAATTCATTCCATCAGATGATTATTAAAGAGACAAGGCGCGTGTACAGCAGGTGGGTTTTGGACGAAGAAGTAAATGATCGATCATTGCTCGGTGAAGAGTTGAACGAGTATTGCGCTCAGTACACGATGTACCACGTGACTGAGAAATGGGAACAGGTGACCGCTGAACAAACAGGTGAGACATAAACGAGACTTTAACCCTTTAACTCCCATGAGTGACCGGTGACCAAGATAGAATTTCTCCTTCCAATATCAATACAATATAAAGCAGACAAGTGATGAGAATAAAGAAAAAAAACATCATTGGGGGGTTATAAGTTGATCTTACACCAAATTCTCCAAACTATCATCTTAAAAGTGTATGGTAGGCGGTAAGGAGAGTTACGAATGAGATCTTCCAATGAGACGTAGATGAGTCTGTTAGCAATTGTCACGCAATAATTTAAGGCAGATATTGAACCACTATTTTTCAAGCACAGATAAAAGCACAAAATGAGTGTTCACTTTCCGAAAAAACAATATTTGAAAGCTTGGCAAGGTATGAAACCGAAAGACAGACAGCTTTCCTGAATAGCCTTTCCATTCAAATAAAAAACCCTACAGGTGCTGTTCTTAATTACATTCGACAGTCAATTGTAAAAATTATTTTGTATTACCAGTGATGGGTGAACGTAACAGATAGCATCTTTATCAAATATGTATTTGTTGTAACCTCGCCCTTTTCCTGCCCCATCCTAAACTAAGGGAAAAAGCCCCAGGAACGAGTTTGTATTTATTTGCAAACGTCATTATCTGACGTTTGCCAATAACATTTGCCCTTAACCCAAAATTAACCCAAACACGTTGTCAGTTGACTGTTACTAGATTAGGGGAGGGGTAGGTGGGTGCGCAGTTGCTCAGATGCTACTACTAACAACATAGAGGCGTGAGACGTGAGTAGTCCATTGGTCAGTGCGCTGGACTCTGGGTCAGTTGGCCCGGGTTCAAGCCCTGGCTGGGGCATGACGTTGTGTCCTTAAGCAAGACGCTTCACTCACATTGCTTCGTCTTCTCGGATAAGACGTAAAGCCGTAGGTCTCGTCTCCTGCGGGGTTAGGGGCAGGAGACGTAAATTTCCCATCCACGAGATTACAGTGTAATGGATGTCCTCCCCGGGGTGGGATGCGTGGGCTGGGTGGGATGGGTGGGAAGGTGAGATCGCGACCTGGACTTAAGCGGCTTCCAGAGGCACCTGATAAAAATGCTGACGTCCAATCTCAACCTTACGGTACTGTTAAGCCCGACTGAATATATCCACATAGAAGTCTGCGCTATATAAATGTAAAAAGGTAAAAAAAATGTAAATGAACCGTACTTTTTTTTTTCAAAGGCAGAACATCGCCAAATAGGGTGAGACGTCAGTCAGGGAGTGGTCTGAATGGTACTAAACTGTGCCGCGGGGGAATGGACCTGAATAGCGCCCTGCAAGTATGTCCCGAGCCCAAAATGAAATGCAACGAAAGGTTCATGTGTTCACAGATTAACAGGTGCGCAGATTATAGACCCCGGCGTCAGATTTTCTCTCTCGGATTGTTTGGACATGGATGGGGCAGTTGGGGCTGCTTCAGTCTTCACGACACCAGAAAAATCATCGAATGTTGCAATTATGTTTGTAATAATGTTGATAATCCAACGACAGAAACAGTAGAAAATATAGGCTCAGAAGTTTTTCGGGGGCGTCTGTAAATTTTCAGCCAGTGTTTGTTTATCACGAAGGTTTACAGAAGTGCTTTGAAAATTCTTATTTTTCCGAAGCTAAATTTAGCATGTTAATCCTATTTTTCTAGAGATACAGAGAAAACCAAGCAAAGCTATCATTTTGAACAGCTGGCTTCAAGTAATTAAAAACACCTAGTTCCCCCACCGCAGTTCCATTTTTTCTTCTGACGTGGTCTCCTCCCGGCCTTTGGATGGCCCACTCCTTATGGTGTAAAATACCAAAGATATCAAGTATAACCCAAAACCTCCTCCCACCCCGTGTCGAAAACGTGAAAAGCTGTACTCACGATTTATTCGCTTGATTCAATTTTGGCTATTACACTTCAGTTAACTCCCACTAACAACTCTCACGAAAAAACACACACCACGTCTCGTTGTATGCGCGTGGAACAGCGCCATATATGGGGCGATAAAACACGTGCTGCATACATGTTGTTTGGTTACGTATTAGACAAAGGAAATCACTTATGATGTCACCGATTTTAAGACTAATAAATGTAACGTACAGCGGTTTCCAACACCCATTCCACCTCCTGCTATTTAAAGGAGGACTTCTCTAGCTCCTGTCTGCAAAGCATGTGTCCGATTTTGGTCACCAGTGACCAATTTTGGACATAAGTACCCGACATTGGACACAAGCTAGTGTCCACTTATAGACACTACCATCCGATTTAAGAAAAGGTGTCCGATTAAAAATTAGCGTTCGCCTGCTGAAGTCGCGAAGAAGCTGTCCTCTGCTCTTTATCTCAGTTGCATTTTCAATCGTCAAAGTAGCCGAGTACTGGACTGTTTTCCTTGATAAACAGTGACCACAAAAATGTAATCATTACGCGATAAGTTAACATTTAAATGAAGCTCTTCAACTTTAAACACACTTCTATTGACTAAAACTTTCATTTTCCATTTTCCAATACTAACACCTATCTCCTATAAGTAGCTTTCTAATTAGCCTTCTAACTAGCCTTCTAATTAGCGAAAAGGGCCGTGATATCCACTCCCCCACTCTCAACCCCCTTCTCTATTTTTTCATTGTCGCTCACCCCCTTGGTACAATTTTCTTTTTCTCCCCAGCCTTGCGCTTCCATTAAAATCAAAGATGACGGCCACAATTTTCACCAAGCAAATTTTGAGCACTCGCTCGCCAAAATACGGCTGCTCTGTAGGCTCTCTTCTGATATGAATTAACTATCGACACGTGAACTATCCTTCTTCGACAATTCAAGACAAAAAGAAAATAGTGAATGGAAACTGATCAAAACCTTCTTTAGGGATTCTCCAACGGTGCAAGCGGCTCAGAGAGGAGAATCTGCCATATTTATGCGCTTGCACTCTACTTATGGAGGATTTTCTCGACGCCCGATTGTTAAATCAAAGGGAGTATGAGCTATGCACCGATTGTGTGACTTTCCGGGTTGAAGAACTACGTTACGATTTGTCCACTTAATGAAATTCATCCTAAAATCTTTAAATTCGACCAGTTTGATATCTGTATGATCAATATCGGTCATCTATAGCCGGCCATGTTCAGTTTTTTGTTAATTTACACCCAATTTGGGTTATTCTATCTTACCAAAATTACTCCTCTCTTATCTTCAAGCTCGAGTAATTCCCTTTCTTTAGTTTTGCCAGTTGTTATCTTATCAAGTTTCTTTATACGTGTTTTGTTTCGTTTTGTTTTTAAACACGAAACTATATATATTATACGAGTGTTAGATGTGTTTGATTTTTGTTAACGTAAGTTTACCGTAAGGGTTTACAATCTAACTGAGCGCGAAAACCTTCAAAACTCGTACTTTCCATTTCGTCTTCTCTTCACATTAAAACAACGAAAATTACGACGCTTGGCACGTTTACCAAAAATTTTTTGGTTCTTTTGTTGCTACTTTCCTGCTCGCTTATTCCGAAATTTCACTTTCAAGCAACGAAAAAAAGCTAGACGACCTTATTGCACGTGGCCTCAACAAATTTGATCACATTTCACAAGATAACAATCCCTAAAGTGACTACTTGTCAATGACAGACTTCACTTGAATGATGCCGCAATGATGTTTCAATGTGTTACTAATATCGTCCATGACTACTTAAGGGAGAAATTTACTCTGCGCCCAAAAATTCATTTCAGAAACACTCGACGATGCGGGAGACTGAACATTCCGAGGTGCCTTCGAACCACCGGACAGCGGTCTTTCACCTACGGTGGTGTTAAGCTCTAGAATAATCTGGGAGACGATGCTATATCTTCACGGATTCTGTCAAAGGTTATAGAAAAAGAATTGTTAACCTACTTTTTTCTGTCTAATCTATGAATTTATAAAAAGTAAATCCAATCTATCGTATTTTTTTTCTTTTCTTCCTCTGGAAAACCCTTGAAGAGAGTCGCAATAAGGTATGTATGTATGCAGGCAGGCAGGCAGG